TGTGTCCTTGTGGAGGAGGTGTGTCCTTGTGGAGGAGGTGTGTCCTTGTGGAGGAGGTGTGTTCTTGTTGGAGGGGATATTTTGTTGGGGGTGGGCTTTGAGGTTTTCAAAAGCCAGTACTATTCGTGTCTCTCTCTACCTGCTGCCTGTGGATCAGGATGTAAAGCTCTCAGGCACTTCTTCTGCACCACCCACCTGCCTGCTTGTCACCGTACTACCCACCATGATTAATAATGGACTAACCCTCCGAAACTGTAAGCCAGCCCCCAGTTGAATACTTTCTTTGAGAAGAGTCGCCCTGGTCATGGTGTCTCTTCAGATCAATGATTAAGACGCTTGTGTTAGTCCTGATTTCACAAGAAATGCTTTCGTTGTTTTCTCCATTCGCTATAGGTTTGTCATATATTATTGTTTTATGTTGAGATGTGTTTCTTCTATTCATAGCTTCAAAGATTTTATTATGAAAAGGTGATGTTTATGGAACATTTTTGAGAGGTATTTGTGGCAGCTCTTCTCTAGAGGCGTGGTAGAATCCAGCAGCCGCTCTAACCAGTCCCTGGCCTCTTTGTGGGGAGACTTTTCACTCTTCCAGTCTTACTGCTAACCACAGATGCTCTCAATTTAGTTTTGGCTTCAGCCACACTGATCTTCATGTTGCTCCTCCCACAGAACCCCAGCGTGTTGCTATGGTCCACCTAATTCTGACTCTTCTCACATATTCATCATCTGCCGGCAAGACCCTCCTCAGGTGGCCTTCCCCGATGCCACACGGCAGCTAAGGGAACCCCACTCCATCCTCCCACTGCCTCTCACCTTTCTTCTCTGGACTCCCTTTCACTTGAAGTCAGACCATGGGACGCTCGTTACTTACAGTAACTTTGAAAGGGCAGGAATTCTCCCCATGTTGTTGGACTGGCACATAATCAATACTCGAGGAGTGATGATGACTGAAAGAATGGGCCGGGTCACATGACTGTGTATACTCGCCTCTGTGATCATATGCCTGACGGTCAGTGCCTTGGTCGTGGTTTCTATGGCTGTGGAGAGACACCATGACCACCGTTAACTCTTATAAAGAAAGACATTTAATTGGGGCTGGCTTACAGTTCAGAGGTTCAGTCCCTTACCATCACGGTAGGAAGCATGACAGCGTGCAGACAGACACAGTGCTAGAGAAGGAGCTGAGAGTTCTACATCTTGATCTACAGACATCAGAAGGAGATTGTGTACCACACTGGGCTTGAGCACATATGAGACCTCAAAGCGCACCCCCCACAGCAACACACTTCCTCCAACAAGGCCATGCCTCCTAATAATTTCATTCACTGTGGATCAAGCATTGAAACACATGAGTCTATGGGGGGCCATTCCTATTCAAACTGCCACGGTGAAGGAGGGCTAAGGGGCTTGAAGAATATTTGGGACAAGGAAGCCTGATGGATGGGGCAATGGTTCCCCTTCTTGTGACAAGACACCTGACAAAGTCAAATTAAAGAACGAAAGGGTTTTTTTTTAGTTTTGTTTTGTTTTTCTATCACATTTTGAGAAAGGAGAACATCTTTCGTGGGAGGAAAGTATGGTGGCAGGAATCTGAGACAGCTGGCCACATCCACGGCTTTTGCTGTCCAGAGGGAGCGGGAGAGAGGGAGCGCAGGCCCACCATAGATCCTCAAGCCCTGTCTTTCCCTACTTCCGTTTGGTTTGGTTCATCCCACATTTTCCACAAACTTCAGGAACACTGTCACCAGCTGGGGACAAAGTGTGCAGACACACGAGCCTGTGGGACACGTCACATTCAAACAGTAACAGATGGTTTCAGATGCAGCAAGCACAGCGCCGGCTATATTAAGTTGTTTAAAAATGCACACTCCAGGGCCACTCAGAGACAGGGACTGGTAGGCTGGGGACAGAGCCCTGGCAAATCTCATTCTTGAGAGGAGTCTTGGGTTTTCTCAGTGTGGACGCCTGCAGGATCCCTGGATCTCACGAGAGCTTCGCTTCAGTACTGTGCCATGACACCAAAGACACCAGCTTAGTTCCTCGGAGCAGAGATGTGTACGTGTAAAAATGCACACTGGATTTGGAAAACAACATGGGAGATACATGTGATGTCACATAATGTTTACGTATTTATTATCTATATAGTAGTTCTGTGGCTATATTGTTAAATAAAGTAGATCGTTAGAATTCATTTCATAAGTGACTTGACATTCTTTAAAATAATTTAATTGTATTTTTATTTTGAGTACTTAACTGCATGTGTGTGTGTGTGTGTGTGTGTGTGTGTGTGTGTGTGTGTGTGTACAGTACTCATATAGTACCCTGAGAGGCCAGGAAGGGCATCAGGTCCCCTAGAACTGGAGTTACAGATGGTTGTGAGCCACCATGTGGGTGCTGGGAATCGAACCAGGGTCCTGGCAAGAGCAGCCGGTCCTCTAACCACCGAGCTGTCTCCCCAGCCCTGTCCACTGGAGAACGTTGATCTGTAAGTAAAGCGGGAACTGGGCGAGGCCTTGGGGCTGAAACAGAGGCTTTGCCTCCTTCTAACCACCCATCCTCAGGCATTACAGACAGTGGGGTACAAAGTATCTACTAAAGTTGCGCCCATGGCACCTGGGTCCTCCTATCTAGAGCCTTCTTTGCGGCTTGCCACCATGGGATTATCTGAGCACTTCATTAAGTATTTCTGATCACAGGTGACACATTGTTAAAAATATTTTTTGCAGACACCGGAGAGGCTGGGTTGTCTGGATGTGGAGGAAGACAGCGCACAGATCTGTGTATGAACGAGAGCACTAAGCAGCAATGCTCTTGCCTGCAGACTGGCTTAGGCCAGGCGGAAGGACACTCTTATCAAAATAAGATGTTTAGAGAGAGGCTTTTCTCTTCATTTCTGCAGAATTGATCTTCAAATGAAAATTTCCCTTGGCACATCAACATGCCCAAACCCCACGTGAAGCGGAGCCTCCTGTTTGCAAGATGAGCCCCTTAGACACTGCGCCAGCAGGTGCCACATGGTGTCCAAATGAAGCAGGGAAATTAAAATAGATCGCAGCCCTGCCTGGGAGGACACGTTCACCAGCATGGAAAGAAATCAGGTTAGTGCTGTCTGACAAGACTTTTCCTGGGGAGATACTACATACATTTCCGCTCATCCCACACAGGGAGCCTAGGGCAGAGCAAAGGAAGGACCGACTTGGTGAACCTGAATCAATGTGTTTTATTGGGGTTACTTACAGGCGTATGGGTGAGGGGTGACTCACAGGAGCAGAAATGATTCAAAGACAGCTGCATCATCAAAGCCCACCCCAGCATGGGTGACAGCCCCCAGAGCTGGGGACCTGGAGCACACCAAACAGCCTGGAGGCAGCTGTAGTCAGTTATTTTTAATTTTTTATTTTTTGACTCTTTACTCTTTTGGGGGGCCCCCATCCAGCTCCCAGGCTTATGAATGCCAGGCCTTAGCTTGATTTGATTCTCGTCAGCTTTTCTTAACTTAAAGTATCCTGTCCACCTTTTGCCTCTGGACTTTTACCTTTCTCTATTTCTGTATATCTTTTCTTTCCTTCTTATCCCACGTCTGGCTGTCAGGTTGTGTGGCTGGCCCCTGGAGTCCTCCTCTCCTCTCTTTTTTTGTTCCTGTATCTCTTTTCTCTCTTTGTTCTCCTTCTATGCATTCTTTGTCAGTCCCACCTATGCAACATAAAGAAAACAACACATCTTTGCGTCATTAAACAAAGGCTCCACAGCACAAACAAATGTAGCACACCTTAAAATACTATTCCACAACCGGCCCCTTAGCAGGCTGGACAGTGTGCTTTCCAGGTGACTCAGTTGGTCTAAACCTCTTCCAGGCATCTCGGTTGGTCTCTACTGCTTCCAGGCAGCCGGTCTGGCCTCTGAGTCTCTGCAGTTCTCCCTGTCTGAGTAATCTTCTTCATGGCTCTGTTGGGTGCACAGGGACGCTCAGCCCTTATTGTTTACTCTGACAGGGAGGGGTTTAGTGAATCTGGTCAGTTTCAGGGACTTCCTGAAGCTGTTTTGAGTGGTTTACCTTCTTACTTAAGGAGCCTCCCCACAGGATGGAATGTTTTCATCTCAGAGAAAGTCATTGCACAATAGTTAGGCGTCAAAAAAAAAAAAAAAAAATCAGGTGGTTCGCTGAGAGGAAATAACTTCTCTTTTAAGTATTTTGGGGTACAGAATTTGATGAAAAGAGGCAGAAGCAGAAAATAAAGGGTTACTATGGATAGACTGTTGGCTCACAATTGTTCCCTTATAGGAGGGAAGGTGTGGCTGCTGGAGAGGCTGGAACCCTTGACTACCGTAGTAGGTGTGGCTTATTACATCTTAGCTCAGAGCTTCTCAGCCTTCCCGATGCTGCGAACCTTTTAACACAGTTCCTCATGTTATGATGACCACTCCCAACCATAAAATTATTTCCATTGCTCTTTCCTAACTGTAATTTTACAACTGTTATGACTCATAATATGAATATCTGATATGCAGGATGTCTGGTATGTGACCCCTGCAAAGGGGTCGTGGCCCACAGGTTGAGAATCAATGTCTTAGCTGATTAGGAAGCAGAGAGCTTGGTCCAGAGCCAGAAGCAGATATCAGCTTCAAGTCTTTCCCCCCGGAACTCACTTCTGCTAAGTGATACTGCCAAAAGGATACTCCAAATGCCCAAAGCAACACCATTGACTAGGGGACCAAGATATCAAACTCAGGAACTTGCAGGGGACATTTCGCAGGCAAACAAACCATCGCAGCTATGATAACAAGCATGAACAGACTATTTATGATAGAATTACAAAGTCCACATGGCTCTTGTCACAAAATGCACGTCTTAAGGAAAGTATCACTTGGCACCACGGCGTAGCCTCTCTGTCATTTGGGAGATATCGGCAGGCTGGGAGGTTTGAGAAGCCTGCATTGCAAATGCGGGCAGGGCACGGGGGAGCCACACAGCGAGGACAATGTTCCGAAAGGAAGGAAATTCCTGAAAGGAGAGAAAAGATGACCCACGCAAAGCAGGAATTTAGCAAAAATAATCTGGCAGGATTGTAACAATTAGCTTGGAAGCCAAAACCTGCTAGACTGGAAATAGGGACCCATCTGGAGAGAGCTGGCTGGTGACAATTTCAGTGGTGTAAAATGTGGTGCCTGTGTTCTCCGACCGCAGTACCTTGTTGACTAATAGAGTTGATTGGGTTGATCTGGCTAACTGAGTTCACCCCTTAGCTGAAAGAGGCAATTTTCCCATAGAGAGGAGTGTTTTTTGTTGAAGGGTTGATGAGTAAATCAGATTGACCTGCGGGGATTGTCTTAACGGTAGGTCAGGGAGGGCCCCGGGTGGTCCACTGTGGGTGGCGCCATTCCCTGAGCCAGCAGTCTTGGGCTGTGTAAGGAAGTGAGGAGCTGGCGAGTAAGTCATCAGAGTGCTCCTCCATGATTTCTGAGGTGCTCCTGGGCGGTGAGCACTCTGGTTAGCGCTCACCTTGCATGGGGTCGCTGTCAGGCCTGCCTCCAGGGTCCTGCCCAGACTTCCTTCAGTGAGGAACTGCAAGCTGTGAGCTGGAAGATGCTGTTTTTGGTCAGGGTGTTTTTCTTGTAGCAACAGAGCAAGTGTTATGATTTCCATACTAGGAAATCACAAACTGGCAGTCAGAATGGTCAGTGACCTCAGGTGCACAGACCCACCTGTTCCTTCGTCTTTAAAGCAAACACACCGCCCAGTCCTCATTCGCTTACTGGGACAAACTACCTTGGTTCATGTGCTTTGCCAAAGAAACAAACATAACACGGTTTAAATGCCAAGATCCGGAGGTGACTGCGTTCTGCAAAGGGTCTCATCCTGTGCCACAGTGGTGGATGGCATCACATAAGAGAAGAGCGTGGCACGGAGATGCTTAACCACTTGAGTCAAGATGCCAAATGCACAGAATGGTTCCACTTACAGTAGCTTGCTTTTCCGGTAGCAAACTCTGTCGCAAGACCCAGCCCACTCTCTAGAGCCAGGCCCCAAGTGGTGTCCCCACGACCTAAGTTCCATCACCTCTCACTACTGCTACATGAGAGACCAAGCTTCTGGCCCACAAGCCTTCCAGGGACAAGCCGTTTCCACGCTACAGCAGCCAGGCACTATGAGAACACAGGCTCATGTTTAGAGAAAGCGGCCTTTAGAAAGAGAGAGAGGTTGCTCTGCCCCAGGTCCCAGAGCTGGGAACCGCGATGGCTCAGGACTGTGTGTGTATCTGACTATCTACGCCAATCACGCTGCTTCAGCCAGGGTTGGAGAGGTTCATGGTCAGCATCTTTAACTTTCAGAAACTCTTAAGGGCTCTGAGAATCTAAGCTGGCATCCTCAGAATGTTAGCTACTTTGTGTGACAGTTGCCTATCATAATTCACACTCCTAACTGGGGCCCAAAGCAGGTTGGCTTCCTCTTCTGCAGACAGACATTGACCTGAGCCTATTAATCCAAGACACATCAGCACTGGCCTAATTTATGGAGGACGTGTCAGGTAAGGTGAATCACATTTGGGAGTTGGAGAGAGGGCTCAGCAGTTAAGAGCACTTGTGGCCCTTGTAGAGAGCTTGGGTTTGGTCCCAGCCCTCGCATGGTGGCTCACCACTACCTGTCTGCAACTCCATTTCAGAAACAAACTTTTTATTAAAGAAAGGAAGGAAAGAAGGAAGGAAGAAAGAAAAACAGTACATAGCAAAATTAAGTGTAACTTCAGTTCCTGGGGATCTGACGCCCTCTTCTGACCTCTGTGGGTATTGCATGCATGTGGTGTGCAGACATACGTGCAGGCAAAACATTCACAATAGGTAAAAAAACATTGTTAAAAACTGGAAAAAGAAAAATCACATTTGCAAGAAATTAGTTGATCATGTATATTTTCACTCATTTTTAAAAATGATTTTTCCAGTTCACAACAAAGTCGAAAGGGAACAGGATGGCTTCCTGCCCTGACAAAGAAAAGTGTGGTTGGTCCCTTTCTTGTCTGTTAAACAAACAACATTTTAAGGAATTTCCCTACCAGACTCCAGAACTTGGCACTAGTTTCCAACTCTACAGTCCTTTGATAACTGAAAAAGCAATCTAGCTCCATTTGATGCGTGCCAGAGTAAAACGGTAGCTTTGGCATGGTGTCTACAGAAAGGATAATTGAAATATTCATTTTCTTCAAATACTTTGTCTTCTATCTCTGTGGTGTCCTGATTTTTTTTATTGTAGTGTGTGTGTGTGTATGCATGTGTGTGTGTGTGTGTGTGCGCGCGCACACACGCCTGTCTGTGCACTATGGGCATGGAAGTGTGTGTGTGTGTGTGTGCACACACACACCTGCTTGTCTGTATGTGCACCACGGGTGTGCAGGTGCACAGGCAGACCAAACGCTAGAGCTGGAAGTACATATGATTGTGAATCATGTGATATGGTGCTGGGAACTGAATCCAGGTCCTTTGGAAGAACAGCAAATACTTGTAACTGATGAACCGCCACTCCAGCACTGGTAACAGCCTGAATTTTAACCGTATTTTTAGAATTAGCACATAAAAAGAAAGTGTATGGTTTCTCTTATCTTCAAGTCATTTGCATATATCTTAAGCATTGCCAGAGATTTCTCTAGAAAGGTATATATGTATGCTTCTCCTACGGCAACAAGTTGCAACATATTGCACCCACGCATACCCAGGAATTCACTTGAAGTCCTGCCCAGCGCATACTTTAGAAATTAGGTTAGAACAAGCTGCTGGTTGTATTTCGCTCATGGCCTTTTCGGGATAGAGTGCTTTGAGCACCGAGACTGTGCTGGAGGTCACGTGATGGCGTGGTGACGTCATGCGGAGGTTTATGAACTGCCCACCCCACAGCTCGAATGCACAGAACTCAGGAGCTTTTCAGATTACTTTACTTTATCAGAACGCAGGGAGAAACTCCTGTGGAAGTTGGTTCTCCCAAAGCCTCGACGTTTCAGAACAACTTGTTTTATCTGGTTACTTCTGGGGAAGCCACAGTTGGGGACTGATAAATGAGACCTGACGGTAAGACACCTTATCTCCACGACGGCTCCCATTTCACTTCGGGGTCTGTCCCTGGCAGAAGTTTCGTCTCAAAACTGATCATCCAGACAAAGCCTTCTCTAGGGCCAGCAAGCTCCCAGCATGCCCTGGGGGCCAGTCTGCAGAGCCTGGCACAGCCATGTAATGCTCATTTGCATACTTCCACTACGATCTCCAGTCTCTTTAGAACACCGTATTTCACCCGTGCGCCTGCAGGCCTCATCTCATCCAGACGGCAAGAGGCACCTCGAGCATGACCGGCTCCTTTTCCTACGCTCCCCCGTTTTGCAGCAGGGTCTCCCTAGGTTGGTCTTGGCTTTGCCCTCCGCTCACTTTCTTCCCCGTCACCCCGCTTCCTCAGGGCTGGGGTCACACACAGGTGTGTGCCATCACATCTGGCAGTTGCCTTGTGTTTTAAACTCCAGGTGCACTTACATTGCGTCAGGGCTACGTGAATCTTTTCCACTTAGAACCTCGTTTTGATCAAGATGTTTCTATGCGACCCCAGGCACATAGGTGCACAAGTAGGGATACACACCGAACATTTACGAATGCCTCAGACTGAAATTGATCTTGAAAGAAGTCTTTGGCAGACGTATAATTTCACAATCCGGTAAAGACGTAGTACATTTACATAGTGATGAGATGGGCGTGCTTGTTTTATTTTGACATAAAGAATTAAATCTGGGCTGAATATTTGGTGCGGCAGTGCATAGAGCATCTCCAACATTATGACTTTATAACTGGCAGGGCTGAGAATGTCATCTTGCACAAGCATGTAGTTCAAAATGGCAGACGTGTGGTTAGGGCCATTTCAGACACGGTTGGAAATTCTGTCCTAACCTCAAGCCAAGATTCATTTACAGAATTTATGAGACTCAAGCCAGCAACTTCAACAGCGATTTTTAAAACCAAGCGTTCTAACACAACACAACATCCAAGGATATGCTAATGTTATATTTACATGCTGAGGTAAAAATCTAAAAACTATCTTTGTTTTCTATAGCTAAGCTATTGTGTGTCTATAAAACCAGAAAGCCTCATATGTACCACAAAAATATAAAAATTCATAGCATACCATCGTCTTGAATGTGAGCTGAGGAATTTTGGGAAGGCCTGTTGATATGTTGTGATGGCGTGATGATGGCATGACGGCACGCATGTTGCAAAGTGCTCATGCTATGTGCTCAGGACAGAGGCTGCCGGGAAGTTTTGAGACGCTCCAAAGGCATGGGCTGCTGAAAATATCTGTGACTCCCATTTGATTCAGAATTAATTGTTGGCGTTCAGAAGCATTTACTATTGCCGAAACGCTCACAGTATTTAGACAGTCACTGTGTGGGCTGTGACTGTAGAGCGTGCACCATAGAGACGCAGACCTAAGAATAAGGGCTGCAGCAGGGATTGAGGGCATGTGTCCCATGTGAGAAGTGGGTGACTGACAGTGGTTCTGTCATGAGTGATATTTAGTCCCAGCTGTCAATTTCCACCCATGGGAGGTGTCACATCCCAGCAGGCTGGGCCTGGGTGACAGACCGGACGGTCTTCTGCCCAGGAAGGTGGACCCATCAGCTTATGCCTCATGTTATTTTTTGCTCTGTAGAGAATCTAATGTTAACTTGCAATATGACTCATGCATGAGGGAAGGGTGAGGCAAGATTCCTTCAATTTTTCCCCCCATGGCTTCTGGAACTGTCAAGAAAACAAGCCAAGGCAGTGTGAATCTAAAGGGAGAAGAGAATGATGTCTATCTCAAGGCCGATAGATCCGTGAGGCCAGATGTGTGGCACATACCTGTAACCCTAGCACTAAGAAGACAGAAACAAAAGGATCATGGGTTCAAGACCAACCTGAGCTCCATAGTGAGCTCCAGGCCTGCTTGTCTCAAAACAAAGTAAACCAAAGCAAGGGGGGGGCAAAAACAACTTGGTGTGGTCACCGTTATATTGCTGTGAAGAGACTGTGATCAAGATGACCTTCTCAAAAGAAAGCATTTAATTGGGGGGCTGGTCCGTATGCATCCTGGCAGGGAGCACGGTGATCAAGACGACCATGATCAAGAGACACGGTGATCAAAGACAACTGTGATCGAGATGACCTTTCCAAAAGAAAGCATTTAAGAGGGCTGGACCGCTAGCATCCTGGCAGGGAGCATGGTGACAAAGAGGCGAGCATATTGCTGGCGCAGTAGCTGAGAGCTTTATAATGTGATCCACAGGCAGAAGTCAGAGAGAGAGAGAGGGGAGAGAGAGAGAGAGAGGGGGGGGGGCTGGGCGTATTGTGGGCTTTTGAAAGCTCGAAGCCTTTCTGAGTGACACGCCTCCTCCAACCAGGCCACACCTCCTAATCCTTTCCAAACAGTTCATCAACCTGCAGATATATGAGCATAGATGGCGGGGGGCATGCTCCTTCAAAACACCACATCCCCAAACCAAACTAAACTGGCCCCTGTGCTAACAACAAACTGTTTTCTGTCAGGCTCTCCGTGGTGACAGGAACTCCCCATGACTCACGAACACGTATACTTCCTTCCAAAGTGGAAGCAGTAAGACTCCTGGGTGCCATTCGGTAAACCACACTATGAATGAAATCTTATGTTTCACAGTAAACAATAGTCCCCAGCTTGGGTGGAAATTATTTATGAACCCAGTGGACTGAACACCAAAGGCTGGTTTTTGTGACTGTAATGTTCATTGCCATTTCTGGACTTACAATGTTCTGTACTTAGAATACTTTCCATAATGCGGCAAAGAGGCCAAATGAAGTTTTGACAGGTCTCTTCCTTCCAGGTGGTTAAGGGGCAGACCACACTGAAAGACAGGACATGAGTCTCAGTAGCAGTGGCCATCGGCCAGCACATGCAAGTGTCTATGCCTTAATCCAGCTGTATGATGTGGTTATTTGTGAATTTGTTGTAATAAAGCGATTGTGTTAACAAAAATTAACTGTCCAGGCTGTGGTGGCACACACCTTTAATCCCAGCACTTGGGAGGCAAAGGGAGGCAGATCTCAGCGAGTTTGAGGCCAGCCTGGTCTATAGAGTGAGTTCCAGGCCAGTCAGGGCTTCACAGTGAAACCCTGTCTTCAAAAACAAAAAGAAAAAAAAAATGTCTCTAGTATAACACTGGTAGATACGCATGCATTTGAAATTCAAATTTCTCTGTGTGTTTATTTATTGAAGTGGCCATCCTAGCTCTGGTGGGGATGCATGGAGAACACTTCCGGCATCAAGGGCCACTTAAACCATGGGTCTCCTATCTTCTGCTCTTTTCTGGTCTCCTAATTCCTCTGCGTGACTGGACTTTCCAGCATAAAAAAAAGAGGATATTGTCACGGAGACGAACTGCTTCTAGTCTTATCTACATCATTCGCATCTTGACTAGACTCTTGTGACCCTATCTATAACATCCCATCCTTCCCTTGCTCTGTAGTAGAAGTGATTTCCGTCTGTTCACTTACTTATTTACTAAGCCTTCCTTATATCTATTAACACAACCATCCATCCATCAATCCATCTATCAATCTGTCTGTCTGTCCATCCATCCATCTTCCCACCCATCCATCCTCCCACCCATCTATCAATCCATTCATCTAACCATCCACCTACACATCCATTAATCTATTTATCAAACCATCCAACCGTCCATCCATTTCTCATCCACAGACAAGCATTTATATAAAACTATGTAGTAAATCTATAACCTCCCTGAAAATGTGTCATGAGAATGTGATTCGCATTCTCTATTGAAGTCAACTTGTGGGTGTGTCACCGAACCAGAGGAAGCAACTGTCGCGATGAACAGAGCACCTCTGAACCAGCATCTGTGGATGCCCAACGTTATCGCATACCTTAGATGTTATGTTGCCTGGAAACCGACTCCAAACTCTGAAATGAGGTGCAGGGGAGCTGAAGGCTGGATAGGACTGTCCTCATGTACCAGTCTGGGAGGGTTAGAGAAGAGTAGGATGGGACAGCTCTTCCTATCACGAACACACAGGGATTCAGACTGGCAGGGACTCTACCATCTTTGCCAGGTTACTTCTAGGAGCCATTGCCATTTCAGCCAGAACGGTAAGAATGTGGTGGCCTGCGATGAAGATCAAGCCTGGAAGTGGCCCTCATGGCTTCCTCTTACCTGATAGCAAGTAGCTAGGTAGAGAAAACTTGCTATCCAAGTGGCTAGCCTCAGGGCCACTCTTGCTCAGGAAAGAGGCAGGCTACACATCCCCAGGAAGAAGGCATGAGGTGAATTTGGGTAACTGAGACTCAGTTTCCTCATTTGTAGAGTGTCCCCCTCATCGTCCTTCCTCGCATTCTGGGTGAGATGGAGACGGTGTTCGTTCCTGTCTGCTGCTGCAATAAAACACCACAACCAGAAGGAACTTTAGGAAGAAAGGTTCCAGACTCACGGCAAGGAAGGGACGGCGTGCTGGCAGGGGCAGGACGCTTGCACACGATATTTCATCTGCACAGGAAGCAGAGGGCGTGGAGGAGGAAGAGGGAAAGGCTAGCTCTCCCTCCTAGTGGTGTGCTTCCTCCAACAAGGCTGTACCCCCTCCCCAAACAGCGCCACCAGCTGGGGGTTTAAGTATTCAAATATCTGAGCCTTAGGAGGGAGGGACATTTAGCATTTAAACCACCACAGATACTATCCCTTCTGCCATAGACGAATGTATAACTCTAGTCTGGGAGGCCTGTCGGAGTAACCATGTCTTTTTCCTAGGATCCCATGCAGACGCTCGAAAGATGTCTGCTTGCAGGAAATGGAAGCTCAGCTATTTAGGACACACCAGTGCTAAAAATACCACCCAGAAAGGTTCTCTCCTCCAGGTTACAGCCACAGGCATTCTAGATTTTCAAGGCTGACCTAGGCTTGGCGACAGGTTCGTGGCTTCTCAGAGGCACCCTGCCGTTGTCATGGGAACCATCCACTTGCAAAATGTTCTTCTCTCGGGTCCCCTGAACTCTGCCACAGCTGTCGTGGCTAGCATCTTCTCGGATGCTGCCATGGGAACCACTGAAACGCTAGCATCGCTCTCTAGCCCAACAGCCCACCTGGCAGAGAGAGCCTGGGTGGGGGGGGCACACAGTGGGGGCTGGGCTTCTAGAGAATAAAGTTATCCAGCTGTGTCTATGGATTTGTACATTCAAGTTCAAAGTGGCCAGTGAGAACATGGGCTGTTGGAATACATCCCGGCTAGATGGAAGAGAGAGAGACCTCCAAACAGACAGAAGAGGAAAAGTAAAGAGAGATCCGTTCTTTACCCTCCAAATGGCTTCTGGGGTAGTGGAGGTCTGATCAAAGACTACAGTTCCATCCCTGTGGGCAGGCAGGCTCTGAAACATTTTCGGAGAAGAGAACGTTCAGAAGTCGAACTCTCTAGACCTATGGGAACGGACTTAAAACCTTCATGTAGACCTATGGGAATGGACTTAAAATGTCATCTACCTTTAGATTTCTTGGGATCATGGAAAGAAAAAAACTTAGGTTGTCCCTCTAGTCTCTAGTGACAAGTCCTGCCCTCTGACCAATCCTGTCTACTCTTCCACACGCTGCCCCGTGCCCTGGCCTGGGAACTAAAGTCAGGTTGTTCTGGAGATGGAAAAACTATCCATTTACCCTACAACATGAAAGGAAATAAATTCCTTGTTGACTCTTTTTTTTTTCTTTTCTGTTCTGAACTGCATCCTTGGCTTGTTCTCATGGGAAACAGATGTTCAAGGCCTCCATGTCTGATTCTGTGTTCCTTCAAGGGCTGGGCAATTGTGTCCTGTTTGAGAACTGAAAGACCTGCCTTCCAGGATGTTCATCCACTATGGGGAAACCTAGGGCAGATAACTTCAGGCCAATATGGTTGGACTCCAGGCAGGAGACCGGCTTTGGAGCCAGGCTTGGTCAACCCAGCCTTCTGTGATTGGCTGAGGATACGTACGTCTTTTGAGGGTTTGTTTCCTTGCCCATTATAGGGAAAGTAAATCCCTGTCTTATGGGACTGAAAGAAATATAAATCCTTTCACATAGGAAGCGCTCAATGGATGTTAGTTATTTTCTCTGGGCGAGCATTTCAACAGCCATGCCATCATTGCCAAAAGCACCACTGTGCTTTGATGCTGAGGCCCCAGAGGAAGGCTAGCCAGGAGACACCTTATATCTGTTCCTAGGTAGGGATTGCCCGCTTCCCCCACCTGCTGTGGGCCACGACTAAAGCTGAAGGAAGAGGTATGTGCCGTGTGAGAATCCACTGAATATCAGGTGAACCCGAGTGGTGGTAGTCATCGGTGCGAAGTATGTCTGGCTGGTGAACTCCAGTCCCGTTCAAGGAGGTTCTGCATCCTGGGAGTATCATGGAGGAGACAGGTGACTGGCCTAATAGGAAGATGCACATGCATTCCTGAATTCTCAGGGTGTTCTGAAATAGTCCAGTCTACTCTGGAATGCGTTTTTCGTATGTACTGCCAAGGGCCAGGGAGCCGCACACAGGATTCTGTCTGTGAGGAATAACTGACAACGTCTGTGATGTGTCCCTCTGAGGAATCTTCCTGCTGTACTCGGAGAGATCTGCCTCCTCCAAGGAGGTGCAGATGCCAGGTAGAAGGAGCTTTCTCCCATGGCGGGGCCAGGCCCGCTTTCTACTGTAAATTCTTCCCTGGAAAGTATGGATACATTTGTGGAGGAGTCGGGACCTTTGTCGCTTCCCTGTCCATGGTGATGCGCCTTTTTGGGCTGCGACCATGGGTAGCCTTTTCTTTCATAGTCATGACTTGCAATTCATTGACTTCTTGGTTGTGACAAGGCTGCCTAGAAGCAAGGGAGTTCACAACACTGAGAAAGGGAAGTGACAGGAAGGTCCCCAACTGCTCAACACACTCCAGTCCCTCAGTACTAGTGTCTCTTTCTATGGAGCATGCATGGGGTAGTGTGTGTGTGTGTGTGTGTGTGTGTGT